TTCTAAGGTCATGGAGAGAATGGTCAATAGGCGGCTCCTGAATTTCATGGAAACTAAAGGACTAAATACTCGATCACTGGCAACATGCCTTTCGAACTGAACATGGGTCAAATACCTTCTTGATTTCCCTTGGCCAAGTCCTGCGGGATGGCTTCTTTTTGGAAAAACATATCGAGCTAGCCACGTTGGACATCTCGATAACTAGTAGAATGGGGCCTCCATGGACACATCCTTCTCTTCATAAAGAATGTCCTGCTCTGCCATTTACCTGGAAGGTTCGCTCGAAACCATCGCTCGAAAACTTTCTCGGAGGAACAGAAGTCCCACAAGGCTCGGTTATCGCCGTAACGTTATTTCTAGTACGGATGAATGGGATCTTCCAAAACCTCCCTAAGGAGATCTACATATTAGCTTGCGCTGACGATATCCTTCTGGTCGTCATTAAAAATGCTACAACTCTCGATCTTCCGGTGGCCTTCTTCTGCGAGTTTTCTTATCTCAGCGAAAAAGAGCTCATATACCCACATATGTTCACACAACGATCGATCGCTCAGAAACCCCCTGCGAATAACTGGCAAAACGATTCCATACTGTAACACCATCCGCATTTTCGGTGTCCGGTTTGATAGAAAGCTTTCATTCACAGCGCATATCAACGAGGTAAAATCTAACTGCAAATCTAGGTTAAACCTTCTCCGTACCCTCGGAGGTTGACACTAGGACAGCAACCAAGCCTCCCGACGCCATGTGTCCGGGGCAATAGTCAACTCTCGTCTGACATACAGTATGGAAGTGACTTGCCTTGCTCGGGATCGGCTAATCATTGTTCTCAGCCCCACGTACAATCAAGTCAATAGAATTTCCACTGGTCTACTGCCCTCAACCTCAGGCGATGCTGTATGTGTAGAGACTGGTTCGCTACCTTTCAACCGGTACATTGACAACGCTATCTGTCGAAGAGCGATCGGGATAGATTCAAAGACAACAGGTGAGGGAGGGACCAATCAACTCCTGATGCAATTTGACAACCAGGAGCTCCTCACAGTGTAAGAGGTTCACTGGGATGGAGCCAGGAGTTGGAGCCTACCTAAATCCAGAATTGATCCATCTAACAAAACAGTTTTAAAGCAGGTTCCGACCCACAAGCGGTAACCAGCTCGGTAACCCAACTCCAGCGCGAAAAGTACCCCGACTACACCATCAGATACTCCGATGGTCCGGTTATCTCGTGGCTGAGGACAGGACCTGTGAAACCTGTCAAGTTCCCCACTCAATGGAACACGTGTTATGCTGCTATCCACAAAACCAGGGGCCACGGGACTTCTATGTGATATCAGAAAACATTCATGACGCCCTCTCCAACGATCCCACGAGGATTGCGGCCCCCACTGGTTTTCTTCACGAAGCCGGACTCTACAACCAAGTTTAAACCTACCAATAAACCCCGATTACCGTAGTTCCCACGGACCATCCCACCAATCAAACTTTGAACCACGAATCACAACCTCCAGCTTAGAAAATGACTAGCGTCTTTCAATAGAACACGATACGGAACTAGAAAAACCACCATTTGACCAGAAATTAGGACCAGCGCAACTAAGGCTTGCACTCGAAAAAAAATGCATCATTTTTATCCGTGTGTGATGAAAATCTGAGTATAACTGGTTTGGAGTGAATTGTTTACATGTGCAAAATTTCATAACAATCGGTTCAGTGGTTATTGAGATGTCATCGAAACAAGAAGAAAATCGCCGGAGAATTATGCGCGCTTTCATGGAACATCCGACTGCGACCATGAGATGGATCGGAAGACAACTGGGAATCACCCATACAACTGTGTCTCGGGTGGTAAAATCGTTTAAGGAGTCCCAGACGACCGAGCGGTGGGCTGGAAGTGGAAGAAAATCGAAGACAGCTGACCCTGCGAAGGCCCGGAAGGTGTTGGATTATTTCAAGCGTAATTCGAACCTTTCGATTCGCGACGCGGTTCTGAAGGCAAAGTGTTCCGCCTGGTTCGTTCAGCAAACCATGAAACGAGCTGGGTTTCGTGTATTCAAGGTCCGGAAGGCACCGAACCGGCGTGATCAACAAAACACGGCAGCCAAATCCCGCGCAAGGAAACTGTATCGAGAGTGGCTAACGAAACCGGTGTGTGTGGTTATGGATGACGAAACCTACATCAAGGCAGACGCAAAGCAGATACCAGGGCTGGAGTTCTACGTTGCCAAATCACGGTTTGATGTTCCGGAAGACATAAGGAAGAAGAAAGTGAACAAATTCGCCAAAAAATACTTGCTCTGGCAGGCCATATGCCAATGCGGTAAACTGAGTAAGCCGTATATCACAATGGGTACCATCAACAGCGAAATTTACCGCACCGAGTGCCTCCAGAAGCGTCTGTTGCCCTTCCTGTGGTCCTACGGAGGCGATACATTATTTTGGCCGGACCTGGCATTATGCCATTACGCGCGATCGACGTTGGATTGGTACAGAGACAATAAAGTTGTTTTTGTAGCAAAAACCGCCAACCCCCCAAATTCACCAGAGATTCGTCCGGTGGAAAGATTTTGGGCCGTAATGAAGGTTATTATTGGCCACCGGCTCCACCATTGCACAAAATGTAATGAGGGGTCTTAAGGGAAAGGTGCGGGCTTTCAGCGATGGAAAGGAAATTGAGTAAAGTAATTATGCCGAAACATAATGAAAGTTTCAAGAAAATCCGACTTAAAATAAATTTTTGGCGAACATTTTTGTCTGGTGCATTTTTTTCGAGTACAGGCCTTATAACGGAACCGATTTTACTTTACCCTTCGGAAAATCAACAGCACCGTCATGAAGGAACTCCGAAAAAAAAAATAACTTCGTTGAAACCTACTCTGTATTAAAAGGTCTCCCTTCTGGAACCTCATCTTTTTCCGGAGAACCCCTTCTGGGATCTACTAATACCAAACCTCGTTTCCACTTACTCTGTGACTAAAGGGGAATCCTTTTGGCTCTCCCAAACTCTTTTCGAGAGGTGAACCAGCCAAAGGCCAACTTCCATATAAATTTCAAACGCAATGCGGGAAGCCAGATTACATCCAATCGTCCCTAAATTTTATACAGTTTTTTGAGACCCCAAATAGAACCAAAACAAGGGTTGTTCTCGCTTGATGAGGTCAAGTTTGCGTGTTTCTATATAACTTCTATATAACGGTGACCCACACTGATGCAAAATAAAAAATGTTTGCTCCACAGTGCTTAAACGGTTCCAAATCATGTCCTGATTGGTATCAGCTGATTTTTTGCATGCGATTAGGGTCAACCATAAACTAGATATCTACAGAAAATCAGTTATATTGGTAGAAGGACAGCCGAGAAATAGCGGTGGGAGGGTGGTACCACCCAACGCATATATGTTGGGGTTACTGTATAATGTGAGCCAGTGATCTGACAATTTCATCCCATTTTCTCAATTTTACTGCCAAACTAACCCATCAACTCCAACCAGCTTGAATAGAACCCTCCAACCGGCATTGAATCAACTTTTCCCATTCGCCGGAATGATCTGGCCAGCCATCCAACGTACGCCACTCACGTCCAACTTTTTTTCCGAACCATAAGTGGGAAAAGCAATTTCCATCCAGTCGGTTTGGTTGCGGTATACTTTTCAACATTGTCCTCTCCGTATCTCGCCTCACCGTCCTGTTCCGTATAATCCCCAAACCCGATAATCTATTATACAGATCATGCTCACGTGTCTTCACTTCATCAAATAGTCGTACACGCCTTCATTTTCTCCGCCCTGTCCCACCTCGGCCTGCCCCGCCAGCCAGAGTGTGCGAACATATGTGGCGAACTCGGAGCGAAGTTGGAGCACCTGTTCTGTTCTGGTACCGAGTACAAACCCTATCTTTTCGGTTGAACTGCGGCCATTTATGACAGATGGTACCTGATGCCGGCGGCTGCGACCATGATGCAATATAATATTCAAGCCATTCACGGGACCGGCTAGCAAGAACATGCACCTGGACTATGAAGGTGGAAATCGAATGGCCATGTCGTCGTGGCAAGTCCTACGACCGAACAGTCATCCATATCCAACGTGACACCAGTAAAAAAACGTAAAGATTCACATTGCGCGTTGATGATAGTTTCTATGATGCAAGTGAGAATAAAAAAAAAAAAGTGGAAGCAATTCACATGTGCGCCAAAAGTTGGTCTACTGGTTCAAGTGGTAATAGCTCCCGGTAGAAGTGGAACAACGACGACGACGACGTCAGTGCGCTAGGATTAACAACTGAGACACTATTCTGTGGACCACTCAGATGTTACAGCCTTCCCTCCAGGGGATGGAATCGAAGGACTGTGACAAAGGAGTACTTTTTTCTCGGCCTTTCATTTTGGTGAGAAAAGTTGAAACACAGGGAGGAGATGGCACCAATAGGACTGTGCACCGATAGGAAAATTTCCAAATTCACTTGATTCACTCAATTTCTCCGCATACATCACGTTTCAGGGCGAGGGTGACGACGACGATGACGCTCAAGTCTATTTTTATACAGCAACCATCACTTCCATTCTAGGGGCATCAAAGAGGTGACCGAAATGATAATGGTTATTGCCCATCGAGTCGTATCGTGTTTGCAAAACTCGACGAACTCGCACGCCCCAAACTCTCTCGTTTGCCCTTTCTGTCAACTCAACTCTACCTACTGTAGATGGGTTCTGCGGTGGAAAAAGTTTCCCTGAATTGCTCGACATTTTCACAGGACAGTTTTTATTTTTTGTGGAACCCTTAACAGGACACCGGGGAGCTCTGCTGACCATTCCCCTCAAAGCGCTCCATTTGACCCACACACGAAAATCGACGGAGAAGTTTAACTCCATACAGTGCAGTGGGATAGTTTGGATGATGCTGGAATTACGGTCGAATTGGGAGAAAGTCTGTTTATTGTCGGGGAAGTTGAACAATTTCCACTTCTAATCAATGCTTTTTCTGCTCTCGTTTTTATTTTCAGGTTAGTGATCGCTGCCACAGGCCTTCGTGAAGGGAGAACCCCGATTGCTTCAATGGGGGTAAGCTTATTTAGACTTTCAAATGATCGAACGATGGTGGGCGTTCAATCAAGTGCAATCCTTCTGTTTGCTCCGGAGAAAATTCTTCTATGTAGTGGCGTGTTGAAATTCCTTTTGCATAAGTTGGTTTATGCTGGAGCGGGGGAAATGAGATGCAGATATCGTACAGATTGGACGCTGGCTTTTCCCTTGCCGCACCTCCTCCTTATCGGATGTATCGAAATCTTCCAATCTGGGCTCGATTGGAATTTAGTGAGCGAATGGCAGAATTCAAACGAAGAAAAAAGTGGCAGAGATACTAGGGATAGTGCTTTTGCCGGCTTCCGAAAGAAGAGACGTGAAAGAACTGCTTTATCTTCTGTTTGAGGGTGATTCGGATTTTTTTATTCATTTCACAGCGGTTGAGGAGGGAGAGAGGTGGTTCCAAAGGTTGAAGATTGGAAGCATGGATGAATGGATTCGGATCCGATTCGACAAATTGAACTCATATTACGACAAACGAATTTGTTCAGCGCATAGTCAATGATGTTGATTTAACAGATTTTGGTTCTTCACTCAACTAGGTTCAATGTCTGCGCGATTTCTGTTCGTTTTTCTCCATCGAATGTTAAATAATTGAGGTATTGAAATGGATTTTACTATCATAATAAAACGAGGATGCTTGACGTTAAAGAACGCGATATTGCTTCATGAGTTGAGCGACTGTCGGTCTATTTTTACATCTTTATGCATCTCATTATATCTATTTCTAACACCCGTGATCGTAACTCTGTCAAATCTTTTTGTACTTTGTTGGGTTTTCAATAATTTGTAAATCATAAGTTCTTCATGTCCGCTATCTGTCACTGTTTGCAAAATATCTAATAGCAATTACCTTCCAATACCAGTACTTCCTGTATTGCCATGGTCATCTGGGAGGAGGGTCGCATCTAGTGCTTTCCCCAAGAACCGTTCACAGCCACCAGCTACTGCCCGTCCAGTCTTGGGCGCATCCAGCGAGGCATTCTTCAGATTACTTACAATCTCCGACACTCAATGCAAATCGCATTACGCTAGTTACAAAAAACACACCCGTGCAAAGAAATGGATCAAATAAACGTAACTCTCGCGAAAGCACACCCGTCGTCGTCGAACGGCAAAAAAAAGGAATCGGTGGGCAATTTTGTGATACGGATTTCCAAAATCAACCGGGAATGCACGAATTTCACCACACCCAACTACGAAACACGTTCAGAAGCACTTTTGGTACACTTTCGTTCGAAAGCACTTAATTTTTTTTTTTTCAAAAATAGTTGCGAGTGAACCAACATCATCACCGCGTAAATAAACTAAAATTAAAATTATCGCTCGCGATGTCACAAATTTCTGGACCGGGAGAAAAAATCAAACAACGCAGATAGCGTCAAATCTTCTGTTGCTTGCAAACATGATGAATCATGTTTTCTTTCTCGATTCTAAAACTTCTCGGAAAGCGAGAAAACCACCAATCACACACGTATAACCGAGGCAGAGTGCCAGCGCTAATCCGGCAAATGCAGCCTATGAAAGCTAATACTCGCACAAAACAGAGAAGAAACTTAAGACACAACCGTATCCAAAGGCGTTCGAAACTCGACTCACCTGTAAGATACATCAACTAAGCAATTACAAAGTGTATTTTGTGAAAACCGAAAATGGAACATGAAACAAAATTATGAAAGATTTTGAACATCAATAACTCAGCTGCCCCTGCATCAATTTCAATAATTTTATCACCAATCGATCAGAAATGTTTCTACGCAATGCTTCCAACTGCTGATTTTCAACAAGAAACTTTTGAAAAAGTGGTAATGTCAAGCATTATCCAAAGTACCAATAAAAAGTGATAATTTTTTCATTGTTTTCATTAAATAAACGTTGTTCCCAAACGCAGTCGTCATAATCGAGTACCACTTGGTTGCACATCATTTTGCTTTAATCTGAAAAGATATAAAACAACGCTGCTGTCTAGCCTCAACTCATTTTCGCTTCGGACGCCGTGGTGAGCAGACAGCAGAAGCAGCAAAAGCAGTCGTCTGGCTCGCCGTGGCGGTGTCAAACGTTTCTCCGGTCTGATCTACGAGAAAATACGAGGTGTGCTGAAGGTGTTCTTGGAAAATGAGATCCGTGATTCTGCTACCTACACTGAACACGCCAAGCGTAAGCGGCCATGGATGTGTCGGCTACGCTTTTTAGCGACAGACGAACTCTGTACAGTTTCGGAGGTTAAATCATCACGACCTTTGGCAACAAAACGGCCCTTTTCTGGGCCAACAAGCTTATTACAGTAAAAAGTTAGAATAGAATGTATCTGCCTGTTGGTCCATATTCAAAACCACATGCCCCCTACGACCACACAAAATGCTCTTCAGAGTTGTAATCTTGTAACCAAACTTGGAAGCGCACCCCTGCTTGGTCATCAAAGTGATTTAGATCGATTCTCTTCATCAACTTTCTCTTTGAAAAAAAAAAAAATAAATAGGGGAAATGACGGCTTCGGCATGACAGACTATTTTCGGCAACCCAAATTGAAACACTATTTTCACTGGATTTTCTTACAAAAACACTTCGCTGAATGCATACAAACGATTCTTTATGCTTTCAGCTTCAATTTGACTATATTTTTACCACTGAGTAAAAGCAATCTAACAAGGTTTTCTTGAAATGCAACACACACACTACAAATTGTAGCTGATTTCGAGTTGCCGATAATAGAACAGCAGATTTACATGCAGTTCAAATGGAACGGTTGCCGAAGAAAAACTGGTTGCTTACAATACTCGCTCTCACTAGAGAAGATTGCAGCTTTGTAAAAGCGTTTCAAGACAGTTTTTGACAATTCTTTCGACTGAAATTGTTAGAGCAGCTGGCAGCAAAAGATTGTAAACAAACCAATACTGCATATGTGTGCGTTCCTTAGAGAAAAAGGCTATAGAAAGAACGTCGCTGCTTAGGTTGCCGAGAATACGTAAATTCCCCTACTACAAATTCGGTACGCCTACAAATCAAAAACGGAAAGATGATCGATCAATTGAAAGAACTAAATTTTCTTCGCATTTGTTCCGTGCCCTAGCGGTCCTACGTCAAGCTCCCGATCGTGCCCCTAGGCACAGACCCTTCTACTTTTTCTATGTAATCTGAGTGTAATAAAACTGACATTCAAGAATCCATAATAATGATAAAGTGAACCACCAAATAACATTAATAGTTGCAAAAATCACAAAATGGCAACACTATATATAAATATCAATCAGATCTCAGCATTTGATTGTAATTAAAGAACATCATGTCAGGTCTTCAGCATACTCAACGATTTAATCATTCTGAGCAACTATCAAGGATACACCAACATTCTTTAGCATCGATACATTTTGTCATGGATATCAATTACTATGTGGAGTTAAATGGAAAATACTTACCTTTTTTTGCTCATGTTGCTCTCGTTATGAGTTTTTAACGTTAACATGTATGCTAAACACTTTGGCGCCACCAACATTTATAGAAAATTAGGGACATTTCAAAATATTTGCATTTCGATTTTTCAAATATAAAAATCTCTGAGTTGGCAACACTGTAGAAAACGCGTCACCCGCTGAGTCCTACCCATCGCTTTTTCTCAGCGTATTTTCAACCAGTCAGTCTGAAGCGGTAAGTTGAACTCAATGGGTAACGCGTTTTTCAGGGGATAGCTGATCGTTCAAAATGCTAATAAAAAAAATGATAACCAATGTCGTTTGTATAAAAATTGGATCCATATTGGCCACATGTAAAATAGAAAATGTATTTTTATTAAAAGTTGGCAAAAAGGGGGTATCCCCCAGAGCTAGGAGGTGCGCCGATTGGCACAAAACTTTTGATTTATTAGTGTTGTCCTAAAATAAGTAGACGCAGCAATATTAATTTAAATCGGAGAGGGTCGATGCAATTTCTCGGTCACTTGACGTGAAATGACCCATAGGCAAAAATATGACTATTCTATGTTTAGAAAATCACGAGCACCTTACTTACGATGTTGTTTTTTTTATAAAATATCCCATAATTTGTTTTCTTCTTATTTGCGTTTCAAGCTTATTGATTATCGCATATTAGCATTCCAAATGCACTTCCATAGTTATCAATTGAGAGCTTCCAATGCCTGTACCATTTTTGCGTTAGTATAATTGTTTGGCAAGTACAATTATACCATATGCCCAGAGAAGTCAAGAAATATTCCAACCCGAAAAATTACCAGACTGGACCGGCAATCGAACCCAGTTTTGCAGCTGCGCCTTTACTGACTGAGCTAAAGGAGGCGCCATATAACTGTATTAAATCAATAATAGGTTTTATTTTGATGATTGAATTATGCACCTAAAACATCGTGATTTCAGAGATTTGAAAAAAAGATGTTATGGCAATGTGCAAAAATATTCAAAATTTGGGATGAACTAAATTTCTATGCTTTAGAAATATTTGGTCAGCTATGACTATGAAAAATCGAGTTTGTTCAAAAATCTCAGCGAGGCTAACTCTAAATTATGTTTTTTATAACATTCATAAAAACATCGATGGCTATCATTTGGGAGGCTCCAGACAAAATGTTATTTTGAGCCACTCTATTGAACACGCTTTCAATGGATCACTTGTATTTTTATTTGAACAAATTTTTACAGTCTGTAGACACACAGACAAAAATTTTGAATTTTAATTGTGATGTAAACATTCATTCACGTAACCTTGTATTTCATTTCATGCAACCGAGCAACAAGTAAATAATGTTGTTCACAAAGATGGGCTTTTGTATACAATATTTGCACCATTGCATGAAATGTCTCAGAACTTTACGTGATTTATATTGTAAACTTATATGATATGTGACGCTCCATTTATGCGCATCATTTTGAACAGGAATTTACACTATTTTTTCGAACTGTGCATCTTCATTTATTTCCCTTCGATCAAATTTTAACAGTCCTTAGGATGGATAACTTTCTTTGATTAAA